CGTGTGGTTGTGGCGCGGGCGCTGCCGCTGCTGCCGCTGCTCCTCCTGCCGCCGCGCCTCCAGCCTCTCTCGCTCTCTGGACGTGGACGAGTTGTTGTTGTCACACGGTACAGGGAGAGGGGCGGAGCTCCGGCAACTTGAAATACCCTTTGAAGCAGCAGCCCGAGCCTCCCTCGCTGGCATTAACCTAAATTATCCAACCAGGAACCTAGAGCGAAAGAGAGAGAGATAGGGGGGAAGGAAGAAAAAAATCACACGTGGAGGAAGAGGGGGAGCAAAGATAAGGATGCGAGCAGAGAGATGCTTCCCCCCCCTCTCCAGAAACCGTTAGATTATTACATGGCTCGTGTTTTATCTCATCAGAGACGAGCTCTGTAATTTTCCAGTTCCCTCTTTTTCCCCCTAACGCCACATCCGATTAGTTATACGGGAAGGGGGGGAGGGAGCGATCACTTATCAATGCAAGTCGATCGAGAAACCAGAACATGTTTTACGCCAAGGCGAGATAGGAATCTGATAGCGGCCCCGTAAGCACACATGGTCAAGGAAACAAAACCAAAGTGAGGGAGGGCTTTTGACTCCCCACGCCTTCTTTTTTTCCTAATTCTTCTTTACTTGTCACCTTCAAAAAGTAAGGTGGAAAGGGGGGGGGAGACATTCTGGGTTTTTTTTTTTTTTTTAAGGAAATGATTCCGGAGAACAAGGGCTGGAAGTTGTATTTTTATTCGTAAGAGTGGGAAGGAGAGCGTCATAATTATCGCTGTTTAGACTGCTTTGTTGTGTGAAGTGAAGGGCTTGGATGAAACGTGAAGCGCTCGGAGAAGAAAGAGCTGGGAATATATATAGCATTTCCGGAAAATAATAGGCATTTATGGATCAAAGAGCCCAAGGTACTTACATTTAATACGGTTGAGAAATAACATCTGTTGTGGGAAGGGATTCTCAAAGCAAAAAGTGGGGGGAGTAGATGTACAGAAAGGGGCAGATGCTCGCCAACAAGCTTCGATCAAGTTTTTTTTCCCCTCTCCTGTTCCCCGTTTACTGAATATTGGGATGTTTTCTGAAAGTCAGATTCCCAGTTTCAGTTTGTGCTTCCCTTTGAGGACTTTGCTTATGTGGAATGCGTTAATGAGAGCCTCCTCCTGATCTATTCTTGCCTCTCTTGGGCTGCGTGGGTACTCCAGAAATCTGTAGTAAATGAACTTTTGCAACCGTTCAGAAGCGGCGAGCATTTTAGGCAGCTCTGTGCAACCAGTCTAACCACCAGCTCCGTCATGAAAGTTCAGTTCTTGAAACTAGTAGGATTTACATCTTAATGAACATAACCAGAATCGGGTGTTAAATCCTTCTTTTAATATTCTGGAGCATCCTGCCACACGAAGAGAGCGCTTGTTCCCACCACGGCAAGGACGACCTGCTCTAAAGCAAGGCACGTGCTTAGACTCTAGGCCGCTCTCGCACTGGGACTGGAAAGGGTGTCTTCTGGCTTGGGCCGCACGCTGTCATGCGGGGACGCGCTTCACTCAATCCCACACCGAAAGGGGCGAAAGGCCCAGACAAAATCCTTAACTTTTACTGGATTGTGCCCGATCCTCTTTCTCCTGTTAAAAAGAGCCCACACAAAACGGAGTCCTGGAAGGGGTTACTTGCGCTTGCCCCATTGAAGTGCAAGCCTCCGAAGCCGATTAGTCCGAAGCCCCCGGCGGGGTAATTGTCACGTGACCCTCGGTTCATTCAGATCCTTCTGCACTTCGGTGCGCGGGTGGCAAAACCAATCACGGCCCGTGGGCGATGTGGGGGGGAGGGCGACCCAGCTCCGAGGTACCGGCATGCCCAGAGCGGCTGCCTTCACAGCTAGGAGCGGCGGATCGATACATGCCTCAGGGCCTAATTGTTTATGATACATAACGATTAAAAACACCGCAGAACGCCTGCCTAACAAACAGCAGGCTGCTCTTTCTTTTTCCCTCTGCTACACAGACCTGGGCGCTCTCTTGAGCATTCAAAGAGGAAGGGATAATAGTCTTTCCTTGCTGTTACTGAGTTGCCATTTTTTTCTGTGCCATGCCGCTTTCTAACAAACAAAGTAAACTACTGGGCTGCAGATGGTTTTCGTAAGAGTCCCTTTTATCCTTCCGTTTTTTGGAAACAGTGGCTAGGGCTCCCAAAAAAAAAAAAATGAAACAAGCAGCCAGGACATTTTTGACCAATACTTTCTGTACAACTGCACCAAGTCAAAGGACATAGTTCCCATGCCTGGCTGAGTTATCCTGGCACTTGAGAATCCCAGCACTTCTTGGGAATTTAAAGAAATGAGCCCTGTTACATGAAATAACAATGTTCTTCCTTTCCTTAGTACTCCATAGCTGTCTATAGCGATGGCTTTGCTCTGCCATATGCTAGAGCTGGCCTTTGGTCTCCCTGATACATCTTCATAGTCATCTAAGTCATATGACTGCATCATATCATATACAGTATGCCCATTGCCTGTATCTTAACTGCTCAACTCTCACATGTGCTTCATCGGCTCTGCCCAGTAGCTTAGCATCCTTTGCATCATGGAGAGTGCAGAGCCTCAAGACTATCTATTCCAGCACCACAAAAAAGGACATAATGGGTGCTTGCCTGCATATACATGTTCTCTTGACCTTTTGAGAAAAAATGATCTCAGATGTTGGGTGAATTGGAGTGTCCTTGGAAAACATTATTTTCACCAAATCAGATTACTGGAGTGGTAACAGGTGCACACATATTTCTAAGGCTGAGGCTGCCACTTAGGATGCAAAAAAAATAATAATAATGACTAAACCAATGGGAGATGCCTCTCAGCTGAATATGTGAACAGGTTCCATTGAAAATGTTGCTTCTGAGACAATGTGAAAGATCCATTGAATAGCATTGCATCTGAGACACTGTAAAAGATCTTTCCGTCTTATTTAATCTGTGATGACTCCTTCATACATGCATTCATCAATGCTGCCTGTGCCCCAAGTGTGAACCAGCCTTCTCTGTAAACCAATGGCTAGAATCCTGGTGGTGAATTATGAATTATCTGTTAAATAGAATAATTCACCATGGTGAATTGCTGCTAACTAGGTGTGAGCCTGTTGCACAATCAAGTGAATGCTTGGAAATGCAACCAGCACCTTCTTAAATAGCAGCAATTTTCTGTGGGAATGTACTGTACATGAGTATAAATCAACAGGATTCTGGCCTCTGTGCTCAGGAAGTTTGCATGTGTCAATTTTCCAGCACAAGTACACAACACTGATGCAAACACAAACTGAAACCCTTCAGGTCACTGCCGCAACTTTTCTTTGCATGTTAGGTTCCTCTAACTTTATACAACAAATACGGTGAATTGAGAGCTGTATAGGAAACACACACTTGTCCTTGGTATCAATGTTAAGCCTTTCCTTAAATGTTTCCCATTGAAATCAATGGAACTTAAAGGGGCTTATACTTGGCTTTGTCCTACTCTTCAGTTACTCATCTGCTTTTAGGAAATCTTTTAAAAATTAGCATTAAACTGAAATCATAGAAAGATACCAAAGCTGCTTCGTGACATACATATGGTGTGTCCTTATACTCTCTACCTTTCAAATTAACAAAGTGTGATTTGTTCTTAACATGCAGTGTTTACAATTTTCCAAAGAATATCCCCTCTTTCTTTTTCTGTTTTTATTATCTGTAATAGTGAGATACTGCTGATCTTTTCGAGGCTGAGAATCTGAGTTCAAAGGTATTAGAGTATAAAGGCCTGTATATATTCCAGGAATATGCCATTGAAAATAATACCCAGGCAAGTAGAAAGTTCTTGGAACTCACAACGAAGATGTTTGCATCCTTCTGTTTAAAAAAAAAAACCAGGGACAGAAAAACTTTTTATCAGCTGCAGCCTTTGCTTTAAAGTGGTGGTTGTCCTTATCTTAACAGGAGCAAAAACTTAGTTACTCTGGTATATTCGG